AAATGCCATTGCAAGGATATATAAAGTAAGCAAACCAGATAATTTTTTTTCAATTTTTTTGATAATAAACGAAAAATTGGAACTTGTCCTTACAATGCATAAAAAAATGAAAAACTACATTTCTAGACATCTCTGAAGAGTAATACCAATCTATTAACTTATCCTAACTCCTTATTAGCAGCTCCAAAATCTAATCATCGAACCATGTGACTGAAGTCCATTTCCTTGATCAGATTTACCACACCCTACTTAAGCTTCCTTCTTTACCTTAGATCCTGCAATAACATCAAAATGTGATCATTACATCATGTATTAAGTATCTATGAATAGGAACCCGTTAAGGTAATGGAGTTAGATAACGGATATACCTGAAGTAGAGTCACACAACTTGACTTCACTATCGCTGAGATCTTTCAGGTACTTTGGGCAGCTTCGCAACCAATGTCCCTTCAATTTGCAATAGAAACATATATAATCTTTAGGGTAAACACATGAAACTATCATATAACTAGCCTTTCTCTTTACCATACGATCAAACAGGTTGATCTTGATGTCTACATGCCAATAGGGCTTGAGTAATTTCTTATCTTTCAACTCGAGAAAAACGTGACATGGGGAGAGTCACTGTAGGAGGAGGTGGAAGAGTTGAAGAAGCATGATGTCTAGTTCCACCATTTCCCGAAGAAGTGAAAACATTTTCACATTGATTAGAAAGTGGAAGATCATCTTCAGAAGGAGGAAAACCATTTCCAAAAGAGTAAGGAAGACCATTATTTTCTTGACTTGACATCTATAATGGGAAAAAAGAGAATTCAAGTTAGTTGATTTTAATCCTTAATTATTGACCCATAAAGTTTAAATTAAGGCTAGGATCCATATTTTCGATTCGAACTTTGAAGAATGATGCCGTAATCAAATTCGAATCTATTTTAGGTAGGTAAGGCTTTTACCAATTTCAATCATATGAAACTCCTAGATCTTTTGAGATTCATTGAATCTAATCAATTACATGTTTAATGTCAGATTATGCTCTTACTTTTGTGACTAGGATGCCGAGGATCACAAAAGAGATGTGAATAACCGTGCAAACCCGCTTGACAACCTCGATGTCATTATCATCTCACATTAATGTGTCAGTTAACCACACACACTCCATCAACAACGATAATTTTTTGAGATGTCCATCATATCTCTTTATAGTCCCTATTAATGTGCCGATTAACCATACAAACTCTACTAACGACTTATAAAGTATGATGTGCGTTTTCATGGATTAGCATACATTTAACATTTTTCCTAAAGTAACTAAGAGTGAGATTTCAAAATAGTTTAGTTACTTTATGTTATTATACTTATTAATGAGATTATGTCCTATCAAATCCGTTCGGCTAACAACCCTCCACCACATAGGAGAGAGGTGGGTAAGAGTGGACACCCATTCAACGACCATTTTATATGTCGCTTCCTTATACCCTCTTTATAGCATGATTTCGTGAATGAGGCGTACTAGCGATTTGACTGACTATTCTTATACATATAATATATATTAAACTTTTAATTATATACACATAGTATAAGGTGTATTATCAAACATTTTAAAATTGCAAGGTTTAATCTTTTAATAAATTACACTTTTAATTAAATTTAAACAAAATTTATGGATTTATTAATTATCTTTTAATTAAATTAATAATGAGACCCATAAGGATAATTTTAATCTTATAATTAATAATTATCTTGTCTATGGTTATCTCCTACAATTTAAGGTTTTATTTAATCATCTAATATGACCAAAATTTAGATTTGACAGATTTTATAAAAGATAATTACCAATAACAACCATATAAATCAGATTAGGCAAGAAAATCCGAAAATTCAAAATTCAGTGTGCTCACTTCGTGAGCATAGACTCTCACGTCGTGAGGACAGTCTAGCAGAAAACACAATTTCCAATTTATCTGTGTTCACGTCGTGAGGATCCAATCTCACGATGTGAGATCAGTTTTTCAGGAAAAATTCGATTTGTTCAAGTTCAAGCAATATACATTCAATTGTTAGACAGCCATACGCTCCGATACCACTGATGGGATTTACATGTATTAACGTGAATAAATCCTTAACACTAATGGGTACATGCAACCTAAAGATCTATGTCATAACACTATTGAAGTAATATTCTATTGAATCATAAAAACCTATGAACCTTATGCTAATTTCAAAAATCACAAAGAAGTTAGGGTTTTTTACATACCGTTTTGATTGTTGTAGTAAACAATCAAAATTCCTTCTTGAAATACTCTTGGAAGAAAGCACCACAAGTGTCGCGAGTCTAATGGTTCACACCCAAACCCTAGAAACCAAGGAACTTGAAGAGAGAGAGAGAGAGAGAGAGAGAGAGAGAAGGGAGAGAGATAAGAATTTCGGCCTAACCCTTCTATAGAAGTCATCATCGAAATTAGGATCCCAAGGGGTCTTTATATAGTGTCACAAGGAAAGTCCTGATAACCCTAAAAGGAATAAAATGATATAGTTCCTTCTAGCAATTATTCAGCTTCCTAATTATCCTCCAAGGATAATTCTAGAACCCTAAATCCCTACAAAAACCGTCTAAGGCTTCTAGGAAGGTTCTAGAATGCCTCTTGCTCAACTATTGAGTAATTACACTTTAACCCATGTACTTTTAATTAATTCCATTAATCCAAAATTAATTCTAATTACTTTCTGATAAATTATTAATTAAATATTACCATTTCTAATTAATATATTATTCTCATAATATATTAACAATTCATTTACTTTGATTTCTAATTTATTAATCATATAATAAATTAATAAATCAGTCTCTCTCTCTCTCTCTTAAGGTTATCCCATTCAATTGCTAGGTTTGAGGGTTACCCAAAAGGACTGTGCTACTATCAATTCAAGTTTATACCAATTATAGTTATGAGCTTAGACACCAAATCCAACAGTTTTATCCTGAAATTCCATGGACCCAGTTAGTGTATGAAAAATGGGTACCACATATTCATACTCCTTTAAACAAAACTATAAATAGTCAATTGCTTCATCCCTTCACCAATTCACGATCACGACACACTTAAGTCGACTGTCATCAACTCTTTCTCCAATCTCCAATATCCTCTTACATGATATCAACCGCAACACACTGGAGCTAATGTACTCAAGGCAAAATTGCTAACCACCATTGTCAAGACCATCACCATCGGTCAACAGTGTCAACCTAGTTGTCTTCCGACCAACTTCATCATCTCTCTCTGGCAAGTCTTATTTAATTTCTGATTTTTAAAAAGGGACTCTGATTTTAAATCTGATTTTTAAAATTTAACTATGATTTCTAAAAAGTAAGTCTAGATTTATTTTGATTTCTAAAATTTAAATCTCGATGTATGTTTTTGAACGACTAAATGCTTCATATATTAAAAAAATCTAGCAAGTTGTTGTAAGCTTTTGGGGTCTTAGAATATCAATTAACTAGGATAATTTTTGGGATCGTGATTGCAATCACTTTCTAAAATTTGTAATTTCGACCCTTATGCCTAGGTTATCATGAAATCTGATTTGCGGTATTGCAAGAAATGCAATTTAGAAATCAGGACACTTCCAAATTCGAAACACATAAAATATACCTTGTTGTTTTGTGTTCTTTAGAGATAAAGAGAACCGGAAGTATGATTTTTGAGAGTATGTTTTGTAACCCGTTTTATGGAACATGCAGTATGTTCTTATACAAGAAGGAAAAGTAGTTGGTGGTAGTTACATGCAATTTTGGCGCCAAAACAAGTGGTTGGATATATGGTTATATGACATAACCTGTAACACCCAAAACATGGTCCCAAAAGTTTTTGTTTTTAATAATAGATAAAATAGTGATTCCAATAACATCCAATTATCTCAAATAAAAACCAATGTATTAATTGTCATAAAATCAGAGTAAAACAGCAAGTGTGGAATCCAATGGTGTGTGCGATTCAGTCATCACGAGCTCTTCTCTCTGGAACCAGAAGTACCTGAAACATAAACTGAAAACCATAAGCACAAATTTTAGTGAGTTCCCCCAAAATACAACATAACAAACATACAACAAACAAATAGTGGGTCCCGCCCCTCATCGGGCCCCTCCCGGCTTCGGACCCCGTCCGGCACAACAAACATACAGCAAACAAATAACTTATGGGTTCCATATTACATGGTTTTCATAACATACGGTTCTTAATTGTTAATGTGAGACTAACTTTTTTGATAAATGTTTTGTCTTTTAGATTGGAGTTCCTAGTTTTAATTCGGATGTTGGTGATTTCTATAACTTTATGATACTAAAATCTAACCACTAGTCACCAGTTTAAAAAAAAAAAACACTAATTAAACAAGTGATCAACGATGATGAAAATAGTATTACAAAAGGGCAAGAAAATAAATGTTTCTTACTGTTTTAGATATCTATCCACATATACTTTAAGGAATATATTCCATCAAACCAATAATATAAAAGAATAATTCAACCAAACTCCCCAAGCAAGATGGAAACGGTCCAAAAGTTTATTCCCATCGACGACTTAAAGTCTTTGATTTGAAATTTATTTATATATGTAATAAGATGCTATAGCTGGACATCATCATATAAATATTAAAATTAGAATGATGATTTTCAAAAATATTTAATGTCCACATTTTACTTAGTTTTATACTGAATTAGATATCAAATACATGTACAACAAATCAATGTCATTAATTTATACGTGTAATTTGTAATTTTATATCATCCGGCATATGAAAAGAGAAAGTAAAAATTGGCAAATTCGATTCTCTTTATCTTGGTTTGCTTCATCCTAAAGCTACCCTCTAAAATCATCCTCATAAATGTAACTATAACCAAAAAACTTCACCTACATGTTATTCTTCTTTAACATATTTATCTTCTATAACAAGGCCCCTTCTTCTTTATATACGGATCACCCACCAAAACCTACACAAAATCAACCATGAAATACAATGAACTTTCCCATTTCAGCCATCCTCAACATCAGCTCAAACCAGGCTACACCGAGATCCCTTTCAAGTGTGATGGATGCAAGGAAGTTGGTATAGGTTCCAACTACAAATGCACAACATGCAACTACGACTTGCATGTGCACTGTGCCCTCCCATCCCCTTCCATCACCCACCCTTTCTACACTAAGTGTTCGTTCCAGTTCCTGATCCGTCCACCGGGTCCTATAGCTAGATACTGCAATGCATGTGAGAAAGCAGTGTCAGGGTTTGTTTACCACTGTAAGTTGTGCGGGTTCGACCTCCATCCATGTTGTGCCAAGCTTCCAACTATGTTGGATGATGGGGAGGTGAAACTCTACCTTTATAGAAAGGTAGGGTCTGCCTGCCACAAATGTGGCAGGAAAGGACGAAGTTGGAGTTATAGGTCAACGTGCAAGAAGTACAACTTGCACGTGGCGTGTGTAAAAGAGATGTTGGTGGAGAGTTGGCATGAGATATATTTTGGTAGGGGTGGGGTGAAGGGTAATAGTGGTGATTTGTATGGACAAAATGGGAAATTTGAGACAAGAATTCCAAGTTTGAAGGGTACATTAGAAAGTTATCATCAGAATCACCAAAGCAAAGGGAAAGTGAAGAAGTGTTGTGAAATGGCTGGTTTGGCTATGCAATTTGTGATATCAGCGGTACTCGGTGATCCCACCACTCTAATTGCTGGCGTTGTTGGTTCTTTAATGTCCAAATAAATTGGCGTTAATAGATATCGGATCTTATATGAAGAAGTCTTATTATGGGTAAAACCTTGTCATTTGTAAATATGTGAACTGTATGCTTGTCATTTTAAATCATGGTACATTCAATGATGGCGAAATAAATCATATTATTGATTATAAAGATAAAAACTACAGTATTTATCTATTTGAGTGGTTATAATAAACTGCATGTAATTTTGGTATGATGGTGTTAAAGTATGATTCGGTAATTCTGTATTACTCAATATTACTTTTGTATATCCTTAATTAGTGGTTGTTTCCGTATTTTCCCGTAGCTAGAATTAACTAGGTATTATTATTGTACATTATATATTGTACCATTGTCTTTGGTATGCTTTTTGATTATCAATACACAAACATCGAAGGCTTCATTCTTAGCATTGGAAATAATGATTTAATTGTATGAGCTGCCAAAAATGTAAAGAAAACGTTTTTACAAGCTTAAAAGTTTAAGTCTTTTATTGAAAAAGAAGCAGACGGTTACAACCGACTGACCACCACATAAATATATAACCTAAGACGACTAATATTATAATAACAAGTAACTAATCACATCTAAACAAGATCCCCTAAATCCTAGAAAGTCTATCGTATTTATTAATGACAGAATTTCATATATACTCTTCCTAAACATTTAAATATTGTATTTGACCGACCAAAACTTTAAAGGGAATCTCCAGAAAAGTCCTAAAATTTTACCTTAATTTACGAAAAAGTCTCAAACTAAATTTTGTTTATGAAAAAGCATGAATTACCGGTAAAAATGACGATTTGACCAATTTTTTTCGGTTTGCCGGTTTTATTACTTACATGTTTCACTAAAGTCTCATTATTTTACCCTAATTTGCGAATAAGTCCCAAAATAAAATTTACTGATGATTTGACCCTTTGCTCTATGTAACATATATTTTACCGGTTTCATTACTGACCCGGACGCTTAGTCATTAAATGAGATGATGAGATGGATATGTTGAGTCATATAATGCTATGTTTAGCATAAAACTTGATATCCTCATGTATTGTATATCTTTTTGGAACATAAAATGCATCCAACGAAGACTATCAATAATTACATAAACTAACAAAAACTGCGTTATTTTTTACGTTTATAAGAAATATCAAATTGTCTTTCTGATCTTATGTAACCCAATATATTCATCTCATCAGACATCAACTCATTTTCTGCCATTTTTTCTTGGAAACACACATTTTATTGGTTTCATTGTTGACGTAGATACATAGTCATAAATGAGCCGATGAGATGAATATCAAATTTTACAGTAAATGTGACATTATATAACCCATCGTATTTATCTTATCAGTAAATTTAATGACTAGGTGTCTAAGTCAGCAATAAAACCGATAAAATGTATGTTAATGAAGAAAATTGCCAATTCATCAGTAAATTTTATTTTGGGACTTATTCGCAAATTATGGTAAAATAATAGGACTTTAGTGAAACATGTAAGTAATCAAACCGATAAACCGGAAAAAAGGGGTCAAATCGCCATTTTTACCGGTAATTCATGCTTTTTCGTAAACAAATTTTAGTTTGAGATGTTTTCGTAAATTAAGGTAAAATTTTAGGACTTTTCTGGAGATTTCCCAACTTTAAATATTGTATTTGTCCTTAATATTTTTTAATATCATATATACCAAAATGTATTTTATAAACAATTTTTATTGATTTGTAATCATTTTTTTATCATTTTAAAATCATTAAAACTTAAAAACATTTTAAATAAACAATTTTGCCCTTGGTTCTAAATTCCAATACAACAACAAATCACGTGAATATCTAAATCGCAACCTGCTACTTCGATTATAATCCCCCGCTTCTTCGAGTGCAACCTGGTGGCTTTTTCCCTATCGCACACGAGCAACCTCTATTCCCTCTTGTTGTCACAAGAATATATTTAGACAATGAGGTTTCTCGGTCGTCTTCCTCATGATCGTCAATGTTTCCTCCCGAACGTCGACATCTCGCCATTTTCTTTTTGCCTGACGTCTCTTACTTATTGCAATCGTTATTAGCAACATGTATTTATACCCTTTTTATTTATTTATATCCTCTTCTTTATCGGAGACAACAGGTGGATATTACATTTAAAGAGTTCAAAGCTCAACATCGCTTCCCAATTATCAGTCATCTGGTCAAGGGTTTTTCATTTTCCCCTTTATTCCGTCAACTGTCACCGAGTCAAATCAATAACAAGGCAGAGAGCTCCAAGAAATGGCAAATCAAGGTGCGAAGAAGCCAAGAGATGAGAACACTCATCATATGAACAATCTCTTTCACATAATTATTTCCTATAATATAAACTTTAGTACTCCTGTTCCCTTCATAAATCCTTTTATACACAGTTTCTTTTCAATTGAGTGGTATATAGTATCTTGATCAATTATGATATCATAGATTTTATGTTAATCAACAGATTTAGCTTACCTAATAAGGGTGAATAAAACTTTTGTCAACTATTTTGCTTGTAAGTTCTTGTATGTGACAAACCGAAATTTTTATTCTGTACAACCATTCACTTCAATAGAAGTCAGAACTGTTTCTGCTAACTTTCAAGCTTTCTGGAGTCAGTTTGAGTGTTTTAAAGTTAGTACTTCAAGAGATGTCAGGAGAGAGGATGCCCTAGGGTTTATTGTGCAACAATAATGTCCCAAAACTCCAAGAGTTTGGAGTTTACGGCCTAAACAAAGGTGTTTACGGCCGTAAACCCTAAAAGAGGGTATAAATATGACACTTAGTCATTATTTACCACTTTTCACATTTTCAAGATCCAAAACCCATTTCTCTCTCAAGTATCATCCGACTTTTCTTCAAGATCTTCAACTTTTGTAAGTATTTCTAGCCCTAAAAAGTTGATATCTTGCTTAATCTAGTGATCTTACATGATTCTATCCGTGAAACCATTCCAAAAGTGTAGATCTTCAAGTTTCACCAAGAACACCAAGAACACACACTAGTGTTCTTGGACTTCTAGCACCTTTTCAAGCTTCTACCTAGTAAGTACTCTTACCCTAGTGTGTTATAAGGCTTGTTACACTTCTAAACATCAGGAAAACACCAAAGAATCAAAGGATCAAAGGTGTTTACGGTCCTAGAACACCTTGGACCGTAAACACAATGGGATTAAAATACTCTGACCATAAAAGATATACAGACTATAAATACAATGGGATTAAAATACTCTGACCAAGAGTTTATACTTTTAAATAAGAAAATATTTAACTAAGTATACATACCTGCATTCATACTAAAATCAGTGTCACAATGACAAGAACAAAAGTATTACGATTGTTGAATATCACAAGTAAGCTCGGGGATGTATGGTCAGTCCTGGGAGTGGCATAGCCTGATCAACTATGCTGGTCCGAGGAGTGATTTGCACATGCCCAATAATGGTTGTGATGTGGCAACAATTCTAAAAACTTACCAACACTACCACAATGAGAACTCTAGAACAAAACATAAGTCTAAGATTCTATAGGAGTATTTTTGTGTTACTATAATTACTTACTTGAGAACTAAAAAGATCTTCATTACTGGGTCAATAGTTGCTAAGTGGATACACTAAGGTTATATGTAACTTGGATGATATAGACTTAGAATATGTGAATTTTTGCTTTACCCCTGTTCCTTGGGAATTTGGAGTTAAGGTCACTTATTCGAAGGCCTATCCTGTTTTGATTACATATAACTAGTATGCACTTTACAAATAGTGAAGTAACTAATGAAGGTTATCTAATAATTATCTAGATAGTTCATCTAATAATTATTTCCTTACCCCAATTCTCGCGTAGATAACATGGCTGGACTCCATCCCCACGGCGACCCGTACCTTCCGAACGAAGGCAATGCTGGATGGTTTGGAGAAGAACCCGAGGATGATCATCCAATCCCTTTGAATGATCACCATGCTGAAGACCTTTCGGACGGTGCTAACTCCGAGCCCGAAGTTGAGAACCTACCCCCGGTAGCTCCCATTCCAATTCGTAACCCTCGTCCGGCTTTTCATGGCCCGACGCCCCCTTGGGTGGAATGTTTGGAAAACATGGAGCGAAGAGCAAGATCAACCTATGCCATTCGATGGAGATCGAAGCTTCTACAACATAAGCGAAAGAGGCTCAGCAGACAGAATTATGCCAATACTGGTCCGTAGAGTTGCCCGAAACGAGATTCAGGGCAGGACAGCTCTCCATCGTATCGCAGAGGTTGATGCCAATGTAGGAATGCATACCATTCGCACCAATCGCCTTGATCATGCTCGTGAGAGATCTGAGAGAGACCTTGAGACCCTGCTGCAAGCACTAGCTGAAACACGAGCCAAAGCCATAGAACTCCGAGTACGCCAGAGGGTGTACGAAAGACACCTGCTTGATATGGAACGTCAACTGGATGAACAAGAGAGTTCCCAAGAGGGATGACCGTCACCAGTAGTAGATGCTTTACTTTCTTTCCCTGTTTTAAAGCAATCATTTTCCTGTCTATGTGTGACAACTGTCAATTCAGGTCATTCTCGGACTCATGCATCTTTATAATAACCATTCATGCACATCATGCCATGGCCTAGTAGTATAAAATTAGGTCAAAATCTTACATAAACTAGGATCCATCTAAGACCTAGGACTAATATACTTGACACTTACGATTCTAGTAAGCTGCTTAACTACAATAGGAAATGCCAATGCTATAATTTGAATGAAACTTTCAAGCTTTGTTATAATTGAAAAAGGGTATAAAACCCTAAAAATAAATTAAAATATTCTAATTATACTTCATTATGATGATGAATATCAAACAATATTCCAAAAACCCTAAGAGAGCTAAAAATCCAAATTTATAAATCATAAAGCTTAAAAACTTTATAAAATTTGGCTATAAACTTTCTAATATCAAATTTTTATTAATCAAATTATGGATTATAATCATTGAAATAGAAATTAAATTATCATGCAATAAT